CTGAGGCGATGGTGAATCACGTAGAACGGTACATCGACCGAGTGCCCAACTGGTCGCAGATTGTGGTGTGAGAAACTTAATTCACACACATGTTGTGATTCAAGTTCCCTCCCCACTACGAAGGGTTTCAGGAGCTCGGGTGATATAGATTTTTAATAAAGGTGCTGGTCAGAAAAAGGGCGAAAAATTCTGTTTCATGGGGCTATGCGCGCCTGCACAGTAGATCAACAATCGTCGGGAAATTGACTCAGTTGTTCAACGGCTGAAAGAAAAACTTATTACATTGCGGAACAAACCAAACTCTCTCCCAACCTGGTCACCACAACAAGGAGGTAAGTGTTATTGTTCTATAACTTGGAGGGATCGTACTACAAACCATATCAACGAAGAATTTCACCTGATTTGTAATGACATCTAGATCGGTAGAACTGATCGGCATCTTTTTCAGACGTTACAGTGCGTGAAACCAACACCACCGGTGGCAGACCGAACTGGAGTTGATCGATTACAAAGTCTCTTAGACCAGGGAGACCAATCGATCGGATGCGCGGACCAATCACAAGGGGAAAGGGCTTGTGATTGATCGTGCGGCGCCGTGATGTTCGGCCTGTGTGCTTGTACGGTTGTCCTATGGGTGACCTTCTAGATTTACGCAACGTAATCAAGGAACTTGTGTTATGGCTTCTTCACAGGTTTTACGGGTCGAAAAGGAGCAAGAGATTTTGATTGATTTTACGGACACCTAATTACTCGAAGCTTTGTGACTTTCACTTGGAGGCAAAATAACTGAATGCTAAATATGGCTTCATGGGGGATTAAAAGGCCTAAACTACCCACTATTTCCAAATCCCATTTCGGGTTATTGACAGATCAGTATGCCTCTTCTACAGAGGTGCTCAAGTTCTTCCGTCTGCATTCCAATCTAGATTTTCCGGTTGGAAGTCGTGCCAAAGCCATAGAAAGTAGAAACCTAGGCAATGAAGGGGTAGTTTTTTCTTGTTAAAAACACGGAGTAGACCGATTGAATAGGGGCTATCAAGACGACTTTGCCGACTTCCGTCGTGGGCTAGAAGAAATTTATCTGTCATGTTTATTCAGTCTGTTCCGATAAAATACCTGGTAAGCCGCACACAGGACTAAGCAACAATGCAACTGCATCGATGACGCTTAAGAAATATTCACACAAGTGGTTAGCACTGTCAACTAATCACATGACACTGTGTTGCACTATAAAAGAAAACAATAAGGAGGCAATGGTAAATTGTTACTCTACAACCCGTTTTATTCTTGGCATATACCATATTCACGTGAAAGGTTTACAAGTCGCGTCTTACCCCACTCAACACTTTTCGGGTTCTTACAAAAAATTCACGTGGACAGGTTTGGAGTGGCAACCAAGCAGAAAGTGGGGAAATCCTAAGGCGTCCTGAATTCAGTTCTTTGCGGGTTCTAAATTTTGGACACACAACACCTACGCATATATCAATGATTTGATTTTTGACGGATAAGCAGACAGAGTAGATGCAACAAGAAGCTAATTATGGTGTCCACAATCATAGTTACTATTTTCGCAATCCTTGAAAAACAGCATACTACAGGGACATTTACTACACTGTGCTGTTGTAACTTCTGCTCCCATAATCCTGTCGGTCCACAGTTAAGCGGGCGCACGCGACGACAAGCCCACCTTGAAATACTTTACAAATGGCAAATAGTTGAGACAGAAAGAAACGGTGGTAATGTGGCGTTGTCCTGTGTACGACCGGGAGCTACTACACGGAAGCTCACAGAATAAGTGACGCGCACCGTTCCACCCTCAGACTTCCTCATGAGAGTGAAGCATCTGAACACCACTGTACGGTTTATTACTTCAAAACTTCAGTATTTGTGTGAATGTTTTCGACCGGACGAGTGTACTCACAATTAGTGATTCCGTGGTAAGCTGACGTAAGGTTTATTGCGGTCTCCACTGAAACGGTCCAGACAGCAGAACAAGCCTACCGAGTTTATCTGTATCGCAAATTATTGCACCAATGCTTTATGGTTATTCGAGACTAGGGACATGTACAGCAAAAAAGCACACATTAGGATTCGAAAAACTACTAAATTTACCATCTTATGACCAAAAACAGATTATTCTGAGCGTCAAACATCTCAGCAACAAACGGTAACGAGAAAGAGAGAACTAGCGATTGTTATACGCTGGTCGATAGGGAATTCGACGGTGCCTCAGAACCCGTTAACAATAATCGACCACTATGGGTAGATAAAAGTTCTGTACTCGGTTCATTATGGCAAAACTTAACGAGCTGTGTCGCGCTTACACGACCGAGTGGGAAGAAGTTTGAATCGCCTCAAAGACTGAGGAGATTCCAACAAGACTACGTTTGTTACCATGCCTCATGGCATTCTGTCTGTAATTGGGTTCATACAGTATCACAAATATGCACTAATCCGCGCTTCTGGTCATGAAATCTGCGCACATTGTGGACCGCACTCATGTGCAGAACTGCAGAGGTCATATTAGTCTATACAGGTTGCATGGACCTCTCACGAATACTCTAATTGTAGGGCTTCCTAAAGCTGTCAGCCCGTCAACCACAATGCTTTTGTGCATCGGAAACCAACATCTGACTAAAATATCAGAAAAGGGATAGAACACATACCGAAGAATGGTTTTAGTCGTCCGTGAACGGCGTGATATTTGCAGAAACGGAGTTACTCTTCAGAGGTCACTAAAAATAAGTCATCCTTTGGAAGCACAATCCGTGGTATTAAAACCATAAAACTGAAGATGTTTTCCTCGAGTCTATTCGAAAAGTCCAAGTTCCTTAAACTTAACCCCACGTAGTACGGATGCGATCACATAATCACACGCTAACTACCACATGTAGCGTTTTCTAGTTCGGTCAAACTGCGACGGCGGCATAAACACCGCGGCCCACTTCGAAGGGTGTTCTAACACTCCTGGCTGTCCGCATGCACATCAGGTGACAGCGTGATACAAAGAGGTAGGTGCAAATGTCTAATTACGTCGTAGCAACACTAAAAAGGCGTCGGCGTCTGGAAGGTGCAAGTCCAAGCGGCTGGAATAAACAACTGCAAATGATCAGGCAGTTTCCGCGAAGGCTTGTAATAACCAAGACAGATGTACGCTGTAAAATACTTGGTATTGTTCGTTCCCCTATCAAGTATGCTTCAAGGGTCATCTGAAAAATAACACTGAATCAACACTCGTCGAGTTTCGGATCTAAAATTCAGGTATTGTTTGTATTCAAACAAGACTACCTAACCTATTAAGAGTACATACTTTAGAAAGCTCTAGGCTCTCTATTCAGCGATGGACTGACATACTCGCCGTATTTTATTTGGGTCAAGTGCTAAAGCGCATTGCCACCAGGACTAATCCGTTAATCGTACTGATGCCACTTTTTTGCGCACACAGGCATTTCAGTGTACACCTTTTCGTCTAGGTTATTTGAATTTTGAGACGACAAATAACAGTGCGCCGTGCCGACCAATATAACCATGCTATTCAGCACAAGCTACTTCCATTCGCCCCAAAATATTTTGAACTTGTATGTGCGATATTAAAATCTTCTTCTAGAGGACCAACAGGAACAGCTCCCGCAATGGATGCCGCTATGACCACAAGCGCACACGCCCTAATCGGGTTTCCCATGGCTGCCTGGATGGACCTACTAGGTCAATGGGGGCACAACTAGCGATGCGATCGTGTGGAATGTGTGACACTATTCACCAGTCAAACCAAAGTAGCCCGTCAAGTCACAGGCACAAAGCGTGACTAAATCGCTGGATCGCCCAAGGCTACGCGGTGTAACAAGTATTCTGCTCAGCTCCAGAGGGGCTTCGAGTACATAATAGTAGCTGACATCCTGTCTGGGTTCAGGCGGAACACACGGTTGGTAAGAACTCGGGGGCTGTGTCTACTTGACAAGCCCCAAGAAGAGGAAACCGGTCCTACGCGGTGTAACAAGTATTCTGCTCAGCTCCAGAGGGGCTTCGAGTACATAATAGTAGCTGACATCCTGTCTGGGTTCAGGCGGAACACACGGTTGGTAAGAACTCGGGGGCTGTGTCTACTTGACAAGCCCCAAGAAGAGCGAAACCGGTCGTGGGGTTTCAAAATTTCAACAAACTTATGAGTAGTGTGCTACATCCAGCAACCACTTGATTGCGCACAGAACAAATTGTAAACGATGTAGCACATCCAGACACAGCATTCCGTTATCCGCCGCTGTCGTGCCTGGACGACAGTCTAGCCCCTTCACTATCGCTAATTAACGAACATCCACACAGTTTGGACTCTGGACACAGTCTAACAGGGTGTGCATCCTAAATGGTAATTTCGTAAACAACGAACTAGCACAGTGCGTCCTAATGCATGGTTGTGGTCTACACAGGACAGTTTATAAGCGTAGTAGTTCAGACTCGCCGGATAATAGCACAGTTCGAGGCAAGGAAGTTGGGTTACGACACCTGGTTATTAGCATCTACATACGACCGTTACTACAACCTGAGCCATCAATATGCCCAACCACCACAAGCATGCACATAACTCAAGAAAAATTATCATGCACTCCCCGAATTAGGACTAGGCGCCCACCTTAACTCTGGTGTAGATTGTTTTGGCGCTCACTTGGGCAAGTAAATAGATTTATGGTTTCGTGTTGAGTGTAAATCAGGTCTTTCCAGGGAGAACGATGTGAACAGGCAAAGCCTATCGATGAAAGTGAGCAACGGTAGACCTATGATGGATCAAACTTAGAACTCGGAGATGAAATTGATACCAGTATGAAAAGGTTCGAAGTCACCGACCGACTGGGCCTTTTGTATAAAAATACGAAACGGCGGAAATTTCTGAGCGGGCTCTTGTAATCAGACATCCATTGGGGGATGTTTGTAATGACGGGATCATCTCAACCTGCAGACGGACACTCGTAGTAACTTGGTTTGTTAGCTGTTTAACTGAACTGATGGGCAAATCAGAGTTAGGAGAAAATCATCCGAATGAACAATGCAATGTATTCAACGATATACACTTAACGCACTGTTTCGGTATCACGGCATTCATGCTATAATTATAGTCGATACACTTTGTGAGATAACAAAATGGAAACGGAGGGGGGTATAATTGGAAACCGGAGATGGCACTGGAGGGGGGAGGGGGCGAAGAACAACAAGCGTGTCATAAAAGAAGTCAATGTGATCTAGTGTGCATTCACAGGGTGCTCAGCTGTGTCCAAGGCAGATGGTTAGATAAACAAACCAAACAACAAGCAACGCTGACTCTGAACAATAGGGCATAATCTTGGTGGAGGGAAACATGTAGCAAACATGACGGGTTCCACGATGGACGGACTTGGGGAAAACAGGATACAGAAAATGCAATGTTATTCACTGACAGCGTGTGCCATTCAAGGATTCCAAGTAATCTGCGTACTGGGATGCATAGACATCAGCCATGTTAATGGATGAAGCATGTTCCAGCAAACTGGATTCCACTTGTTGCGTCGGCCCAGCTATATCAGTTGCGATTTGCCACACGGGGTCTGTGGGATGAGAAACAAGGTGTCCAAAAAAGCAGTCAATGAGCAAGAATGCAACATCTTGAAACTAAAGGGATAGAGATATGTGACTGGCAGACTGATTCGACAGTATACACAGAAATTGATGTCGCTGGAAAAAGAAACCGGAGGGTGAAATGAGAGAAGAAGGAATAGGAGAGCAAGGCCGATAAGCTGTTGTGTGCTCGTTCAGCTGCACACGTTAACTAAGAATGCTCAATTGTGTGATACTTACCTAACGCTTTGAGGCGCGTGGTAAAACACGACTGCTACCCTGGGTATTTTCGTCGGTCAATCGCGGAAGTGTTTGGTATCGTGTAACACAAACGTCATACAGATGAGCGTAAAATTCCGACGGAGGAGAAATGACGAGTACTAACCATCGTCAGGCTATTTGTCCACGAGCACTGAAATGTTCGTCGAACTCACGACCTCGTCGGCTAGACAACTGGCTGATTGAAGTGAGACAGCTTACTGGTCTGTTATGTTCTGCCGCATGCTATAAAGAATGACAAACTTGATTCATCACACAGTCTTTTCAGAATTCACAAAGAAACTATGGTCGTTTGCTGTGTTGATACCGTAATATTGGATGTTGTGCGCTGTTCGAAGTTAACGCTACTTATCAGGCCAGTTTAGTTGAGATGATTGACTTCATAAGTACAAGAGTGAAAATCAAACCATTTAGGATGTTATGTGCATCCACAATCACGTGAGAACGAATCCGTCGGATAGTTCAACCACAATTAACTACGAAGACAGACAATTAGCTCGGCGTTGCAGCGTTATCGGTATACATCTACTGTAGCTTTTGCATGAATTACGACTCCACCTGCATGAGCAAATTACTTGGCGGAACGGCGGTTAAGATCTGGTAATCGTTGAACAAACTGTGTCCTGATCGTCTTGGTAAAATGTGTGGAGAATCAAGTTGGCGGTAAGACATCTTCTCTTTTGCCATTCTCCTAAACCCTAACTGGCTAAATTGTCCCAACTGGTAGGACAGTTTACTCAGTGTCACACGGAAGCTGGACGAGGTACAGTCTCAGGAATACCAACATTGACACGCGGAAAAGGCTATCGAATTGAGTCCAGCAAAGCAACTTAAAAATAGAAAAGTTTGTAGATTAGTGTGAGGAGATTTGGGATTTTTGTGGAGATTTCGTCCTGTAAGTGAAGCTAATCTATGCTGAAAAGCCGAGAAGCACTGTACAGCTGTTTCAACCTTATTGGGAATCATCAGCGGTGCGCATCTCACGACACTCCGGACAGTCTCGAACCCGCGACCTCCTGGCTAGTAGTTTGAACACAACCGTTCGGCCACGAGTGGCTGATCAGCAGTGTGATTAACTTGCATTTAGAGTTGCTCGAGGAGCCAGTCAGCACGTATGGCCGCGTGATGTGGATCCCGTGATTGAAGGATGAGCGGCGCTATATCCTAAGTGCGGGTTCGAGACTCTTCGGAGTTTCCTGAGATGCGCACTGCTGATGATTCCCAATAAGGATGAAACAGCTGTACAGTGCTTCTCGGCTTTTCAGCATAGATTAGCTTCACTTACAGGACAGAAAAGTTTGTTCCAACTACTACCACAACAGGGTGTCTAGTTAATGTCAACTATGGATCGACATCTATGACCTCTAGCCAGCTGTATCTATGACGGCATCCGAGAATGAAAAATTACAATCCTCGTGAAACGCATTTGTGGGATGGCGAAGAAGCATCCCCAGAACAGGTGCCCAGTTACCTTAGATTAAAAACTAACAGGTGCGCCTGAGAATGCACATATCAGCCACGTATTCATCCGATCCACGTTCGACTATTATGGTTAATTATGTACAGCGCACCACAGTACAGGCCAACCAAACGCAGACTAAGTTGTTAACAAGGCCCAGATTTGGGACAACAGCGGCAAAGAAACCTCAGCTGGTACACACGTTCGTTGTTATTCAACGGACAAAGTGTTAGTCGCGTTCACAAAAGGATGAACAGTCTTAAAGTATGCTCCGAAACATAGTTGTCTGAATACAGTGATCAGGAAAAAAGCCAGACATTATGGCCAAGTGTTTCTAGCTAGTGGTAGTAATCCGACTAGCCACGTATGTGCAGCGTTTGAAATCTGACATTCCAAACAACCTAACCGTAGTGAAGGTGGAATCACGGTTGCATGGGCTGGAGTGCACTATAGTGTGTTGCGTTCAAACAAATTTAATGTGGATAGTTTACTTAGAAACTAGCTGAACTTCGCAGCCCAGCTAATCAGAACCTAAGTTAGTGAAGTTGCGCAATCGGGACGATAACAATACTAGCTAACTTGGAGTTGGCCAACGGTCTCCATCATCAGCCACCAAACCAATACGTCATGGAGCCACAGAAATCCAGTTAGTACGCAAAGCCTACTTGTGCGAAAATGATTCTGCTAAGTTGTGAAAGTAGCATGAAGAAAAGTAACATCTTGATGCTACCGGTAGAATGCTTCCGCTATCGATTTTCTGGAAAGTAGCCGCTTCCAGTTCAACTAGTAGGCACCGGTAAAGGGAGCAATTGAGCAATAACCGCAAGAGCTAAGGTGGATCATCCAAACTCACGAACGATTCATCTACCATGAAGGAGATGAGTTCGGTAAATTTTGTCGAGATAACTGTAGTCATTGTAAAAATTTTAAATTCCCTAAAGAAGCCTAGCTGTTGCACCTCCATAACACAACTGAGTTTAACGTGAGCTCCACTGAGAATCGCATGGGCAACGTGAGAAGCTGAACGAGGACACAGCAGACTACACGACCTTCGGAAGACAGAACTGAAAACCAGAAGGAAATAATGACCAACATGGCTTTTCTGGAGACTATAAAAAAGAAAAGTGCCCGTTCATCAAACAAGGACCGGATGGTAATCAGCTCGAGAGAGGTCCTCTATTTAGTGGTAATGTTAAAAAGGTTGGCATGGGTGCGCGAAATTGCGTTTTGGATAAGGGATTTGAGCTGGACGAAGATGACCGAATGATTTGGACATTTTGGACAGCACCTGGAAAACTGGAAGTGATGTTTATGTGCCACACCCATTGGGGCGTAATGCGATTTGGGAACTGGTAAATGGCCTAGCTGGATGGTTATGAACATTTCACCGTGTCCACCGCCCATAATCGGTCAATGGAATGGCAGTCATCCGTCTATATGAGTGTCTATCTACCATCAGAAAGGGATATACAGACACATCAAAGCGTCATGTAGGACGGAAAACCCGAGGCATTGTGCCCATTTATGGACAACGGTCGCCACGTTTTACTAACTCCATCCACATGAGAATCTCCATTGAGCAAATGAAGACAAGCAAAACGAACTTGTCCTACGAGAGTCAAAATGTGTAATCCACTAACACATCGGCAGAGCAAAATTCCACGAAGCCTTGAGATCCATCACCTTGAAACTGATACCGGTGGGGGCTATCGGCATTCCATCGCATTCCAACGCAAATGCCGTCACCAAATTCAGTTCTAAAAACTTGAGCGCAACATTGGTTACGTGCACGATCGACACGGATAGCACAGATACAGGATACACACAGAAGAATAACTCCGATGCACATCTACACCACAACTCATCAGCATATTCAGGAGATTGACCGCCCCTCACGAAAGCACGACATAAGTTTTGCATGTGACATGCGGACACTCAGAAATCTGCACAGACAAAACTATTCCACTTAAATTACACGGAGCTGTGCTTAGTACAATAAGCAGATCATGTGATAAGGTCACCAATAGTTCTACTCTGAGTAAACTGTATCGAATCTAAAAGGACTGTGCATAGACCAATCACCTCCGGTCTCGAGGAACCAGTATAGTAACCATTAGAAACTGTCGATTCCACACAGTATTGTGGTTTCTGCCATGAATTGGGTTGGGAGTCCGTGACTGATTTTTCAAAGTCATATGACTGACAATCCCGGACACTGCTGCACCAACCAGACATGTGGTGTAGCGATATGTATCTGACAGGTGTTTCAAACTTGGTAAACCTGAACGCCACACTCGGTCCGATTTACAATTTGCTGAACTGTTGAGCCCAACAATGAGTTTGTGGCGACCATCGGCATGAAACTAAGCCAATACGATGGGCTGTTGATGAGTGAAAAATATGCAAGTTTTTGCATTTTGCGGAAGGCAGCCTAAGAACAACAGATCTAGCAGTGGCGACTACAGATAGGATAAAGCATCACATTTAAGCGGTAACGCAGCCCAAGATTCTAGATATCCTATCCGTATGGATGATCGGGGTAGAATACCTGACAATGCCTTCCTTCATAAAGCCTGGCGAAGCATTTCAACGCCATGACGTCAAAATAAGAAATGCTCCAGGACCCAGTTAGACGGCTTGCTGATCTGTTCTAAGAACCGTAACTTAGAGGTGTGAAGCGTCTGACGCAGATTCTCAACGAAAGTACCAATCAGCGTGTACGGCTCATGTCAGCTCAAAGACTTGTAGGTATGCACCACTAAGTAACGGAGCACATAACTAGTGCCGCTACTAGCCAACTTCCTTGATTGAGATCTAGCCATTCAGAACATTAGAAGTGGCGCACCCCCGTGGAAAATATATCTAATGCGGTCAAGATGTGCCCAAGTGGTTTGTCTTTATCTTACTACGACGTGAAACCGCGAATTCCAAACCAACCGTATTATCAGTAAATCGCGTGACATTAAATCAAAAGATCGAAGCGGCCGAGCGATTGCGCGAGAATGCTGGAAAGAGTAATCCAAAATGCGTGTGTGCTACGTATGGAACACGACGACTTCCAACTGCTTATGCATCCATCTAGACTCGGACGACTGTCACCAACTGTTGTTTGTTGTAGCTTTGATGTCGACAATCAGCTTAATCCTATGCAACCTATGGAAAAATAACGAAGCATCTAGTTGGAACTATTTGTCTTGATACAGTATAATCTAATATACTTGAGAACCGAAACCGGGAATAGTCGGTTCTGTGCCAGCGAAAGACCTCAATTCTTCGAGAACAGCATTCCAGTAGAATAAACGGCTTATATATGCTGTGGAAGATGTCCGAATCATAGGGTCAAGTTCAACCACGAGCTACACTGATGCTGAAGAAGGGGGATTTATACCAAGTTACTGCCAGTGGGGAAAAAGTGCAACATCTAATCCGGTTAATCCGTCGGGGTGGCCAAAAGCATGTATGATGAATATGGTGTCTAAAAATGTGGTACGCGAAAGATGAGAGTTAATCAGCTTAGGCTTACAGCATCCTGACAGATTTTCGTCTAACCAGGAACGAGGATGCATTGGAACAGACGATGAATTTATCTAGTCCAATGGACTTGTTGCATCCAATTGTGACGTGTAGCATCCTCAGGCCGCGAATTCTTGCAGTCGGCTGCGACACACAAGTCGCTAATCGCTAATTCCACCAACTTCTTAATCCACGGTGGAAAAGGAATTTGATATTGATCATCACACCTGATCGGGTCGCAAGGGGAACCAAAGAAGCCCTTGCTCAAATTGAACCTGTTGCATAAGAGCTGGACTGATGGGAACGAAAAGCTGCTGTCGTTTTTGCTGGACAGCATCAGACTGACGAACCAGAAATTGATGATGGCGTGTCCCGCACGTGAGCGCTGTCAGCATAAACTCAAAGTTCTCATGAACGAACGAGCGAGCGGGCCAGTAGTCGCCCCAGATCACGGGCAAACTGCTGTCACAGTGGGATGGATGCGGCACAATCAAACAGAATAGAGTGGGGATGAAGCGCAGAGAGGGGGTGGTGTGAAAGGGGCGAGAAACACTAGAAATTTTGTTAAAGTCAAGTTAATCATGAATTAGCACACCTCTCACTGTCATACGGTTAAAAACTATGGCATCTGAGTAGTGAAAAAATATATAAATGGAAAGTAAGTGGGTGGATTCAGATGATTTTACACTTACTTCACTCACTTCACTGACTGACTGACTGCGCAGCGAGGTATAGTTAACGAAAGTACTGTAAACTCACCTGTTGACTGTTAGTACAGCGGACTGAAAACTTACGCAGTCGTTCATCCTAGGCAGTATCAGTTATGTTCAAACTTGTGTCAGGATCCGTGCATAGGAACTGAATAAAAGTCTATGGTATACACTGCTCCTAACTTCTTTCCTCTCCCCCGCCGTACCCAATTACCAATTGACTCTCCATAAGTCCCATCGTTATGACTGGCAACATGGTAGCCCCGAACTGTGTTTAGCTGTAACACTTACAAATCAGTCAGCCTCAACAATCCGGGATAGGCCGAAATAGGCCTTCAAACACCACAGCTTGACTGCTTTTCATGCTCGCACTCTGAAAGAAGCATGACAGCAGGCGGGTCTTGCCCAAACGCTGATGTTCCTTCTCAAAACGATAATCCGAAATGCCAGCATGGCTGTTGAGTTCACGGTTTTGTCGATGTGTTTCCGTTTAGTGGATGGAAGCAGTAGCGACCGAAAAATTAGGCGTCGGTGTTGTATTCAGCCATCAAGTTTGACCGGGTGCTTGTTGATAATAGTTTCTCCATCCATAAAGTCACCTTGCAAAGGGTATCGGTCGCTGCGTTTATTGTCACTGAACATTGAACATATTTCAAACGCGCACTCCAAAAACTCAAAGGGGAGGGGACCACCCCGGAAATCATCGAGACATTTCTGCTGAGTTACAGGGCGACACCAAATGTTAACGCTCCACATGGTAAGTACCCGGCGGAGGTACTTATGAACCGGAAGGTACGCTTACCCGTTGACGTCATCCGTCCAACACCACATTCGCAAACCGGTAGAAACATAAATATGGAAGTTCAGTTCAACCGACATCACGGTGCTACAAAGAACGTATTTATACCCGGCCAATCTGTGCTAGCGAAAGACTATCGTGGTGGCGCGGAAAAGTGGACACAAGGCATAATTGTGCGCCGGGCCGGAAGAGTTGTCTATGAGGTAAATGTAGGCTCCTCTATCTGGGTCCGTCATGCCAATCAGCTACGCGCTTCCTATCTTCCAGCGGCACCTACACTCGACCCTGTTCTTCCACTGGAGACTCTTCTCGACACATTTGAGTTGGCTCAAAAGCCAAAATCTCTAGAGCCGATGAACGAACCAGAAATTTCCAAAAGTTGTACACCCAGAAGATGGACCGATCGGATCAGAAAGCCTGTCATACGAATGCAACTGAACCCACAACTCCAGTCGTACGAACAATTACTTCAAAGGGGAGGTGTTAGGAGGCACTCCTAACGAACATATTGCTCAACATTTCTCTCTCTCGATTTCAGCCTTTCATTGGACTGTTTTGTTCCATTCCATTCTTGATTCTTCGAATCTCGATATTGGCTGTTCAGTTGCTGCAGTATAATTTCCTCAAGGCTTTTTGTCTTCTCAATTTCGTGTGTAACTGACAAGGTTGATTGACTGATTAGTAGAGAACATAACACATACATACAGCCGAAGATTGCTTTTGTGGAGCGTCACCAGTAAAGCGAAAAGCCATCACTGTGATTGCGTGGGCTATGAACGCGCAAGTAAGTGGATTAGACGCTGGTAACGATCAGTAGTAGTAGATTGGAATGACGGTGCGTTGGCCGTTGTGTGCTGATCATAAGCTGTATCTCTGCAGTACAAACCTGCGGAATAAGCTGCAACACCTACTCACGTGGTGACCCCATTAACCAATCTGAACCTCAAATTGATTACATCACAATCAGCTTTCCGTGGCGTGGATGAATCACTGATTGTTGTTCATTGCGGAATCCATTGGTGAGTCACAATCACTCGACTTTACACTGCCAATCCTCGTCATACTCTCCTGGACCGCTCAAAAGCGGGATGACATAGATACCAACAAAAGGCAGTAAAATCAACTCGTTTAGAAGTGGTCACGCGATACATGCCTAGATGTCAGGTCACAAAGGAATATCACCCCTATGATGCTGTGCAAAGCATTGTGACCAAGCCACTTTTAGTTAAAGATCAGTTATCGGACAAGATTGTGGCCCTACTAGAGTCTCGGAGACGAATTCCCGTTCGTTGTCAACATTGTCCAAGTAAATGGACTCCCAAACGCCAAGCGAAACGGAGCGTAATCACCAACCGGACAGCTTGGTGGCTCCGGAAAACCATAGAATTGGGTAAACCACACAAGGCTGGCTGATACGTAACACAGGCCATCGAAAACCTCTAACAAGTTGAATCACCAAGGGCTACGGTAGTTCTTTGTCCAACCAAAAGCCCCCGAACCGATGGGTCGAACACTTCGGATAATCCAACTGCACAATCAAATTGCAGACCATTATTAGAGATCTGAATAATAAACATCAATACTTTTTTGGTTTCGGAGGTATATGAGCGCTTCTCTTCCAACCATACCTTGGTCATGAAGACTTTTCATCTGGCATGCTCAACCACGGAAACGGAATCTGTATTCCGTGGCCCGACTAACTAACCAGGGTGTTATTAATTGGGCCAGCCCACAGGAGTGGCAATCAGTCCAACTGAAGTTGTAGCGAGATTCTGGTATTGCTTTTTGGTCGCGTTACGGAAGTAGGTGAGGTATTAGCCCAAGAACAATGGTATTCACACGTGGTCGATATTGCACCGATCGTATCTTCATAATTCAGAAGCTGGAGCAGCGCCATGCATTCAGAAGACTCAACGTTTCCGGACTTCAAAGGTGCGTTCGAATCTGTCGACCGATGGGTTCTTGCATGATCATCCCGAAGAGAATGTGCTGCGGAAGATCACCAACGAAGTATGTTGATTGTTTTGTCACGTCCTTGGGAATGTAAGAGCATAGAGAGCTATCTGAAGGTTTTCGTGCAAAATAGTCGTGTCCTGAAGGGTCTATTCTTGTTTAGCTTCGTTATTTATTCCAAGATGGTGCGAACTCCGAGGTTCATATGGAGTATGCAGGCGATACTATTCCGATACTATTCAAAGGAAAACGTGATGTGAACGTGCATGTTTCTTGAAATTCCCAATCCCGCCCGTCAATTTGTGTTACACGTCGAGTCAGGACGGCAGATCACTCGGTCTTGCCAGTTTAGCTGGCTTCGCTGTGTCTCTGAGAGCAGAATATCTGATATGTCTTCAGGTCGTTGTACGGGCGCATCCATAACTATCTATGGGTGTAGTTGAGCTAATCTACTCAGGTTATTCAGCAGTTTACTGTACCAAAAGCACCAGTTCTGACTGCTGCCATTTCCTTGTTGGAGGATAAGAATGGGTCACCACAGGGCCTACAGGACAGAACCCAAATTTGTCTTTTGCGTCACTCGAGAAGATGCTATAAAATTCAGCAAGTGGCTGGAAAATGTTTTTGCTGTACGTGGAATTGCCGTATAGTTTCTTCTTTTTCGAGAGTCGGACCCTCGGGCTCCAACACACAGGCCATACTGGAGAGAAGGACAGGCTACATTTGGGATCGAAACAGAAAGGTCTGTTTATCCGGGCAAAATATCGACTTCTACAGTCTTAAGGATCTACATGAGTTATGCAGCAAGGCACGGTAAACTCGATCAATGACCGAGTGGTGTTACCATAAGCCATCGTAAAATGTTCTCAAAGATAAATGGAGATTCGTTCCAACAGTCAGGTGATTTAAGCCGACCTTTCCTGACATATGTGAAGGGGATGATCACCTCTAGCTGTACAGTGACGCATCTAGTGTTCGACATTCCAGATTGACTTCATGGTTCGAAAGCATTGACTTCTGTGGGAAAGTGGTAAACGCGCGCCGGTGAGAAACAGGTAAACTGTATGATAAAATCCACTAGGAACACGTCGACTTTTCAACAAAGGATCTTATCACTTTCCGGTCGATCGCTGCTAGCTGACGTCGCCTACAACACCGAAAGTAACGGGTTGTAAGTATGACATTGCACTGCGTCACTGCTAACCTGAAGCCCACTTTAGTAAGGTTACCAGATAGAAAGCGCAAATCAAACAATCTGTGGTGACAGTGAAGAACGATGGTGACCGGTTTTCCTGTAAACAATGATAATTAGGCGTGTAGAAGGGAACAATAGCGTCCAGCCTACGAGCTAGATCTGATTTGACAGTCAATGAATGCAAATCCAGCTCGGAAGATCCCAAATGCTCCATGCATACCAATAGGCCATTTTGGTTGGTTTGCGCTCTTCCGGATGCCTATTCTCAAAGATGGTTCATCAATGTTTCCAATGAAAAGTCTTCAAATCCGCCAACGAACAAAATTTAAAAAGGAAAGCGGTGCGTAGGTGGGTAACTCAAAAAATATGAAATTTGCTTCTGAGGGGAGTTCAACTTGCAGTTACTTCGGTATCCATCGAGATGAGGGAAAAGTAAGTCCATTCGGGTGACTGCACATGAGACAACAGAAGTGAAATGTGTTAATTTTTAAGTTCTCTGATAAGTTTTGAATTATCCCCGTGCTCACAGCGCATTTAGTTCGTGGGATTTTGTCGACGTCCCATGCGAATATCGTCCGTCTTCAGGCGAACATGCTACAAGTTGAACGAAAATGGTTCGTACGAAGGGATTTGCAAACGGCAGCGTGGACGGAGCACGATCAAGTGATACACATCTATTTTCGTAAGTGAAGCCATACCCTGAGTTGCTTGAATGTGGCAGCTTCGTTTGAGAGCACTGGTTATATTAGGATTTATGAGCAAACAAGGTACACTTCAACAAGTAGTTCGGCTTCATTAGTTAAGCAGGATCATCGGTGTCAGTAACTTAATTGGGTGAGGTTAACGTTAAAAAGAGGACAGACCCTATAAGCTTCACATGTGAATGCGATAGTCGAATGTGGTGAAAGTATTTGAATTTAACTGATCCATTCTGCTATCATCCAGACGAGTAACTCTTCTTGAAAAGAAACGGAAAATAGGCTGTCTAGGTTGGTACTATAAAAAATCACAGTACCAATGAAGCAATTAACGGAAGAAAAAACGAGTGGTGAAGTGCGTAACCACCACGTCTTCCAGTTACGTCAAAGAAAGCACACTGAGGTGAGCCTACCGTACAATTTCTACAGGGAATGTGTAGTTGGGGTATCGATTGCCTGTCTGGCTAACCGAATGTGTAGTTCACAGGAACGTATGTCCACCACACTGCAGCCACACCTACAACAATTTCGCGCAATTTGGCTAAGTTTTTTTCTTACGAATATGACATTTTGAGTGGGGAAAACTAAAATATCAAAGTGTAGAACAGCATGTTACGATTAACGTTCAATGAGGTATACTAACGTTAAAGGTACCATAAAGCAGTAACGGATTGCCAATCGAAGTCGAGCATGAACGAATAATGATAATTACGCGACTAACATGGAAATCCTATTGTGAGCGTGCGAGCTTACGGACCAATGCACTGGCTTTCGGAAGAAGTTTAATGCTGACTAATTGTCCGTAGGCTTATCTATATTCATTTGCGAATTGTTTTTAGCACCAACGTCCATCAATAACGGGAGCACGGTGCACGGGGCCTGTTATGCTATGCACGCTGATGTATACAATCATTTTAAGGGACAGGAACAAAACGGTGGAAATGCTGCAGTTGCCGTGGTTGGGATCGAGTGGGCAGCAACGAATTAAGGCACTAATTCGGATGGTCAGCACTCCGTGTGAGAAACGTATCAATTGGACCCTACTTGGCCAACCAGAGAAAATACGGCCTGAGGCTGGTGCCTTTGAGAGTCGAGCAACTGTCACAATAATCCGCGGTGACAACTGTGTCGGGAACTATTTGCATTGAGTTTGGAGTGGACTTGCATGCGCACGTCAGTGGGCTTATTACTCCAAATCAAATAGTACCGAAGTTCCCGCACGCGTCTTGGGTTATCACAAGGTTATCGCAAAATATACTTTAACTCCACATGTTGGTTTCCCTAGTTAGCTTCGCCTCATCAAATTTCCCGTGAATAGAGAATGCCAGTGTGTGTGAGACAACGGATTAGATGGATAATAAATTATAGCCCCTCTCCCTGGAGAGACAGCCCTCAGGAATACAATTTTCAAATGTAACAACTGTTGACTGGGAGCTCCGTTAAATCTTCGGATGACGGACAGATCAATCTCAAGTTCAGAACCCAAATAGAATGTTGAAGCACACGTGGGTCGGAATCCAGCTCGTAATAAATTTTAAAAAATATCAGTAAACTAGTTTGGCGTACAACCACGACAAAACATAACTAACACTGCATGGCCTGAGTCTTTTAACTAAGTGGTCATCCTCACGGCGGATCCGATAAGGTTCAAGTATCAGGCTGTGAATTCAACCGCGTTCACATCGAGAAAACAATGTTCAGTCGGCTGAGTTGGCGAATCAGTTACGATCTGTAGGTGTGAGGCTACACAAAATTGTGAACAGCAATAAGTACCAGTTTCTAGTTCCGTCCGTAATTTCCCCGCCCGCTGAATCTAGTGCGAATCATCACCTGTTGGTTGCGGTTAGTCTGCACTACGAGTGAAGGGTAAATATGTGATATCATAGGTCATATTTGGAATACAGGATAGGAAGGATGTCGACTGGCTGTATCGTCATTCGTTCGTACAGCCCACCGCTTCAATTTGATCACCCTTGTCTGGTTCCTTGGTTCTTTAGAGAAACCTTCTCCTGTAAGTGTTTCCAACTTCGCTATATCATCAGTTATTTAGGGCTTATCTGCACAATCCTACCTGATTCCGTGTTGTGTGTGACTTATCACCCATGCCCTCTATAGCGACATTCTTCGAAAGTGGTCCCCGACCGTGATACATCCTTATCTTTGCAATCCGCAGCTTAAATAACATAAAACTCCGTCTGGGTTGGACAGTATACCCAATAGAAAGATGTTTCTACAAGTCCACAGTTGACTGAGTGCTTCGCAAAACGACACGTTCATTCGTTACACCAAACTTGATACCACTGAGGCACGTGGTTTCAACTTTACCGCCAGGAGGAAGATCATACTTTTCACACTGTTTAATAACGTGACTTATTAGGACACCTTTCGGTTACAAGCAGACGGTCAGTTTCCGACGAACAACAGAGGTTATGTCCTTCAAAGGCTAAGGAGATAAGCGTCTGATCTTCCTCAATCACTTAGAGTTGTGGCTTGTCTCAATGCATTTATTGCCATCGATAATTAATAACAATACACCTAGGTTTTTCGACGGTGCTGCTTCTCAAAATGCCCTTTGAAATTCAGTCACCGGATGTTTTCCGACTTCTTCAAGTAGACTTTATCCCTGAGATAAAGGCAAAAAAGCTGAACCACCGTGAGAAACAGACCCATATGGATCAGCCCAATGGCCGACTGTCCCCATAGCCTAAACTCCTTTGGACATAACTTCGACATCTAATGACTCGAATTTTTTTCAGTGATGAGCAGAGCGACACGTACTCCGATGAATGTCACTGCTGTTCGATACAAATAATTTTCACCACAAATTCACCCCCTAATGGACGGGGTAGCGATATTTTCAGTCAACAGAAGAATCTCATTGAAAATTAGATCCAAAACCTACACGAATGCCACTTTGATCAGCCGGCGTGAAGGTGCCAAAAAGAGAGCGAAATTACGGGGCCACAAGTGGTGAAGTTTATTGGAAAGAGATATAATCCTGCCTAAAATCGATTCGTTGAACCTTTGGGGAGTATGTGATAGACACTATGATGAACATTCCACCCTCGTTTCAAAGCACCTATAAA